GAAAACTTAATAATGTCCGCCTAAAACCTAAAAATACAAACTGTAGATGCCGAAAATCCGAAAGTGCATGCGCAACAACGTGGTGCCAGAAATTTTCTTTGGAGCTTTTGTTAACCTTTGCAAACAGGATAAAACGGTCAGTAGGATGATCGAGGCATCTTTCTTCCACGAACATGCACGTTTTCTAGATGTTCGTACTGGTGTTTCCACACGTTGCCTTTGTGCGATAGTACCCCTCTACGGTGAGCCACCCATGTCCTTCAGAGCTGCATACTGTCATCGTTGTTACTCGTCACTGTATAAGAATTAATCTTTTGTGAGGTAGCGAATAGGGCGAGTTGATTAAGGTTATGCATGACAAAAACCGCTCAAACGAAGACGACGGAGTGAAGAGAACAAACACGACAGGACGAAGCTGTTGTCGCAACTAAAGTTTTGTTAGTGAAATTAACAGAAAGAAAACAGCCTAGCCGACATTGATTACATCAACAAACACCTACTTATTTATTAGGCACTACACAACATTTGGAGCTGAAACGGTTCACACACCGCTTTTCATGTTAGCTCGCAAAGAACAAACTTTATCTGACAGAGCTACAGACGGCGCACTGTCAGCTGTGAATAAATTGTTGTCTTTTTTACCGGTGTACGATGTTCTGATTTTATACTTGCGGCTTCATTAATATAGAAAATGGGTGATTACTAATCTCCAAGGAATCAGTAAATATGCCCAGTGAACTTCAAGAATATTTAAAAAAAGAGGACATATTTTTAATGAAGTGAAGAATGCGAATTGTGTTAAATTGCCACGTCTGACGCAGAATCCGCTAAGTTAAAAAAAAAAAAAAACAAAAAAAAAAAAAACGGTGAGCTTTTCTCCGCATCCGTTTACAGGCCTGTGAGCTTTTCTCCGCATCTGCCGGTTTCGCGGTGAGCTTATCTCCGGTGAGCTTTTCTCCTGTGAACTTTTCTCCGCCGCCCCTAGTAACGATCCGTGCTTTGCAAAACGGCCGTCCGTCTTGCCGACAGATCGTTTCATCGACAGGCAAGGTTTTATCGATAGATCGTTTCATCGGCAGCGTCTTTTTCGAGACAGAGCCTTAGAAATCTACTTTTTTGTGGCATTTATGTTGCCAACTTGTGAGAGGGTTTCTGGAACCTTATCAAAGCGGCGGTGGCGCGTTCTCCCGATTGCAAAGCCTAGTTTACTTAATGATCGGCGGTTCCGACTAGGCAGGGTGCATACTCGAGCCTGAGATGAAATTAAAACTTTCTGAGCGAAGCCGAAGTTGCCTTCACGATGCATGACGGGCGCACGACTATACACCCGAGGATACACGTAACCCACTTGAAAATTGCTCACCAATATCAACGAACTGTTGACGCCCTCGTAGGTATGATTTAATCAACTTAACATCAGGAATGGGAAGACCAACATTTTCTAATTTAAATGCTAATTTTCCATATGGGACTCTCTTAAAGGTTTTATTGAAATCCAGGAATATTACGTCTACCTGACCAGATTTACCTAGACTAGTGGCAAAGTCGTGGACCGTGGTTAAAAGCTGAGTTGTGGTGGAAAACCCCTTTCTAAAACCATGGTGGAAGGGAGACAAAATGTTGTTTCTCCAAAAAGGAAGAAAAAAAGTTTGAAATAACATGCTCCATGAGTTTGCAACATGTATGTATGTACATGTGAGCGAAATGGAACGATTTATTTGTTAGCGATTATGGGGTCTCCTTTCTTGAATACAGGGATGACACGTGCTAAAAACTGGTGATAAACGAAGTTTGAAATATTGTTGTCAAAAAACGTGCCAGTGACATCTGTGTACCGTCGAAGAAAAATATTTGGAATCTTATTGGGTCCTACGAGCCAGACTTCGTCCTTAGAGTTGACAGCATTGACAAAACACCTCGATAGGAAATAAAATCAGCATTCATGGCTGACGAAGAACCGCGACATTCATACTCGTCTTTTTCTCCGAAAACTGACTGAAAATAAAAGTTGAAATGCTGAGCAATTTCCTTTTTTATCTGAAGCAAGACTGCCACTGATCACAATCTTTTTAACAGGATTATTCTTGTTGGCCATGTATCTCCAAATTGTTCAGGTCATCCTTCAGAAAAAACCGACAAATCATGTTCAGAGTAACATTCTCTCGTTTGTGTAACTCTGCTGGTGAACCCAGTCCCTAACTCACGTACCCTTTCGGGATTGTATTTTTTTTCATTCGTTTTAGTCTACGTTTGAGATGAATGATATTTCTATCAATCCACGGATTGGTTCTCATTTAAGAAAAAGGCGCACATAAGCTTAAGTCGGCCAAAAAACCGACACATCGCAATCATTTATTTGGAAGTCAGCAAACGCCGAATCTAAATATTCAAGAACACTGTCATCATCAGCGCGACTGAAATCTTGGACAGTCGTCACTGTGAATATTTTATTGGCTGGAAGCGCCACCAAAGAGCAGAAAAAGTATAGTAACTTGTGGTCAGGCGGCCGTTCGAACTTGAAGGCGCACTGAACGTAGTCCGCATGTCCGTACAACATGACGGTTTTCCGGCGTTCATGTAGGAACAAAACAAACAAACCTGATGACCAGAAGTATCTGTGAATTCAATCCAAAGTGCTTCCCGCCCAAGCAATCGTGGTCCGACGGCGTCTGGTTTTCCATGTTCACGGCACATATCCACGTTCTCGGACGAACCGAGCACATAAAACTGACCTTCTAATGCGAACACTCCCTCGGCCAGAAGCGCCGGCTAGCACGCGCTTCTGGCTTTGGGACGAGCATTTCTCGAGTGCGCGCTCGTTCTGCCGAAGAACGCTTCAAAGCAGCCATCTCGAGCTCTTATGCTTCTGGCATTGGCTGCGTTCTCTGCTTAGGAATGAACGGAGTATGAACAGCGCCCTCAAAAATGGCGTCCAGTGTCAGCGTACCCAGCGGAGGGCTTTGCGGCCCTTCGCACAGCAGTAAGGCACTTTCACTCATGCATTTGACGCTCCACGTAAACGTCTAACTTCATCGTATGCTATAGCAAAAGACACTCGACATGAGCATCTGTTTCATTATCTGCTACACAAACCACTGAAGCAGTCAATAAAGCAGACGATGTAGCAGACGATGTAGCAGACGATGTAGCAGACGATGTTGCTCATCCGGGCTAGCTAGGGGGCGCTGAGGGGATCTACTAGTGATGACGTTTAGAGGAGGAAACGCGCAGGCCTTGTGTTCTCGGTGGTATTGGTTGAAGACGATTATGGTGCCTGAGAAATGTGTTTTTCGTGCCAGCTGGCTGTAGTTTGGCCGGTGTCATCCGGAGTTGCTCGTCGGAAGCTGATGCTCGTTCTCTTCGATTTAATATGCTGTTCACTCTTATAAAGACAAGATATAAACGCCGCATGGATAACCTTTCCTCGAAGGGTAAGTACTTTTTTTTTTCTTTTAAATTATTTCTGGAGTAGACTGTTTTATCGCAGCGTGGATGATGTTGGAACCGTATAGACATGGGTCGAAATAGAGCAAGCATCTTGGGCAGCTACGCGATCATGCTAAAGGCGCAAACGAAAGACCGTTCTGCAATCGGCAAAGCGAAGAAAATGCTGACTTAGGTTTTCAGTAACTACGCTCAAGCGTCCACGAAACGTCCTTTGATTAAGATGTGTTCGCGGAGCAGAGAGCAGTGAGAGTATCAAAAGACTGATCTGACTTCGCCTCGAATTCAAGGACAACGCAGGGCTTCGAGCGCATTAATTCCAAATATCGAGTCAAATAGCGCATTTAGAAATCCCTCTCGGACGGAATGCTTATTTTACACGTTCTACGGCATTTATTCATCTCCGATGGCGTTGTGTTTTCCACGGCCTCGACGGAAACCCGCGGAGCTTCACGCCTGCTAAGCTTTAAAAGTTGGGTTGTGTGTATGTTCATACAGCCTAGAACCTGGTCTGCCTCAACGGGAAACGAGTCTCCCAGCTGTAAATGAGACATTTAGCCAGTGCAGTACAACCCCTAGCCTGGGGTCTTTAACGTGCATCACGCAGAACCCAGGATCCTGGGTACTGCAGCGTGAGCTTTCGCTCCACGTGCTCCGAGCTAGTGTGCGTCAGCCCACTCGGCCACCGATTCCCTGCCTGCTAAGCTTCCGGTATTGCAACAGTCCGGTACGCAACATGGAGTAGAAAACGGTCTACTACAATCCACCACTTTCCGAGTTTCCGGTTCGAGGGTAACCCGAGGCACATGTTGCCAGGCCGGATTAGTGGCGTAGGAAAACAAAGTCTCCATCTTGCGCTAGTCTGAGGCTCCCGGCACCATCCCGACGTCGTTCGATACGATGCCGACGCACTGTGTCGCGTTTGGGTGTCGAAACTGGCATCGGAAGGGGGAGGGGAAGAGCTTCTTTTGCTTTCCCTCTGCGAAATTCGACCCAAATCGAAGAGCGGCGTGGGTAAACGCGGTGAAGCGGGCTCACCCGACAGACCCGAGGAAGGCTTGGGAGCCGAGCCAGCAGTCCCGATTATGTGGGGCGCACTTCGTCACTGGTAAGTCGCTTCAATCGCAGCTGAGAAAAACAAACACAAAGCGTTGGGTAGTTGCATGATCGTTACATTGCCGCTCTATCAAACAGGAAAACCGTCGCTGGATAGGCAGCACCCGGACCATGTGCCGACTATCTTTGCTCACCGGAAACAGCAGCCATCTCTCGATCGCTACGAGCGATGGAAACATCGCGGGTCCACTGAAGGTACGAAGTGACGATGGTCATAAAGGCGCGTTCACGCTGTGGAATTTTACTCGCGTTTTGAATTCGCCGTCTGAACAAGACAAGAAAAAAGACGTGCGTCTCGTAAAAAGGATGCGCGCGTTCATCGCTTCTGGAGCGACCTTTTCTAATGCCAGTTCTTGGAAATGTATGCCCGCCGACGTTTTTGTTGTGTTTGCGCTTATTAACTCCTCTGCCTGACGACGGTTGATCGGTATTGACTGGACTTTATAATCGTGCGCATATGGAAGCGCGAAATCTGCCTATATAACAGTCAGTGCACCAACTAGCCATTTTACATGACGAACTCATCTAATCGCGAGCTAGTAGTATTAAACAGCATCTTCTGGTTTGTGTGTGTCCTTGCTCGTCAACCTCAAACAAGCATAACCTTGCGCGTTTCATTTTCCAGTAAGTCCAAGTGGCCTGTACCAAACTGAGAATGTGGGCAAATCACCATAATCACACTCTAGCTTTACTTGTTTCGCCTCTGATATTGTATGTCATCTTCAAACAACGAACCAGTACGAAGTGCTGGTTCTGCGTGCGTGCAGCAGGGAGCATCACAGCCAGCAGCCCAGCCTTCTGCAGCAGCAGTACCCTCCTTGGCCCTTGCTAAGGAGCTCCCAGTTGCCGACCCCCTTCCAGAAGGTTCCGGCGGTAACCCATTCCCGTGCTCAATCTCAACGGGTATTTCGAACGTAGAGCCACTGCCCGAAGGTAAGGATCGACTACTAACTCAGTCATTGCTACTAAATTATTATTATTAGATGCGGGGCTTATTCCCTTGCCTTGTTTTCTTGAGATAGTGTTCGCAGGACCCAGTGAAAGAATGTTAGGTGACACACCATCCTGAGATGATGCCGACAGAGCACCAGACCATGCGGAGGACACAAATCTAGCCACATTCTACTTCTACAATTTTTTTTAGGAACAGATATAATTTTATACCTGTTTTCACATCAAGAACCGTAGTAAAAAAAGTTCGCCGCCTTGTGGAGCATTACTGATTTCCACCTTTATGTAGAGAATTAAGATATATGTAGGTGCATTCTAGGTTAGATGTATGTTATCTTATCAAGACGTACACATTCCAAACTCCAAAAAGCGTTGCTTTTTTCTCTGATAACTAAATCTTGTAAGAACTACTTTGCCCTGCGTATGAACAATGCGCAAGACTCGCTTTTCTCTTGAGGTGAAAACAGATGTAGGTGCGACACACTTAAAAAGAGAAACGATTTAGACATTGCATGAGTGAAGTAAACATTCAAGAATGCTAGCACTAATCATTTCACATCCCTGAAGTAGAAAAGTAAAATAATTGCTTCTCTAAAATGCTATGCACCAATAGTGCAGACGGGCACGAGCAAACACGTAGGCAAGAATGTTTCCCTTCCAAGTGCTGTCATGTTGTCGTTGCACCAAATAGCTCGTCTCTTCGAGGACGTGTTGGTACACCATCGGGACATGCGTCTAGACCGCTGCAACCACGGTAGCACTCCACATGCACAATGAATTTTCACTCAGTCTGCCATGCCACGCCAACGTTGATCTCTGGCAAAGTGCTTGCCAGCGGGTCGCGGCCGCCGGGCATACACGTGACAGCTCTCTTCTTGAAACGTGATTGGTCGCTTCTTTCAGTCGCTCGAGACGCAGCATAGAAGTTTGACCCGATCCTACTTGCTCCGTTAGAAACGACCGGGTGCTTGGTGCTCCGTTGCTATGACAACTCGTCGTTGCAACATTGTTGGAGTTTGTAAATGTTCTGGCTGCCCCAAATGCAGATGCGTGAACGGGCCTTTTTTCATCTACGCTCATTGGTTCAAGAAACCTGCATGTGACCACGACTTCAGTTTTTGTCTTTTGACTTGTCAGCTGGCCCATTGCCTTTGTCTGATATGATTATAGCAAGTTGCTCTAATCATACTCCAGGGCCCGTTTGCTCAAAGCGCTAGCCGCGGCTAAAGTTAGCCGCAGTACCTAGGAGAGGGATTTTGAAATCCCGTGACTGGCTCGGTAGGAATGCGGGGAAACATGGCGGCACCCCAGTGAGTAAGCGCCGCTCGCTTTGGAAATAATATATCCTTGTAGCTGCAATATCGGGCGTGTTAGTCAGCAACTAATGGTGCAGGAGGCTTTCAGTTTGCCTTACCTCACTTAAATTGCAAAGCATGAGCAATGACCTCGCCACATTATTTAGATAGTCTTTCGATTCTGGCCATTCCCTAGCCTAAATGAACGCGATAATTGTCGGCACGGCAACGTCTTTGGAAGGTGGATTGCCTTGTCTCAATCGGCCGGGTATTGATAGCATACAAAAGCAGACAGCACCTCAATAGACCTTTTTCTAAATTTCCCAAGCGCCGAGGTCCATGCTACGAGTGTAGTTACATGCATTGCACGTGCTGGCGTCTGCAGTAGTAATTGTTCTAAAGCAAAAAGTCGAAAACAAATTTTGCCTTGCACGCGCGTTCGTCAAAGCCTTATTATGATTATTTACTTGGAATCTATGGTCCGCGGGCAGGCCGCAGAATTACACTACCAGCGTTCTCGATGCTTGGGCAATTTAGAAAAAGGTCTATTGGAATGCTGTCTGCTTTTGTGTGCTATCAATACCCGGCCGATTGAGTCAAGGCAACCCACTTTCCAAAGACGCTACCATCTCGACAATTACCGCGTTCATTTAGGCTTAGGAAGGCCAAAATCAAGACCATCTAAAAAAATGCGGCGAGGTCATTGCTCATGCTTTGCGATTTAAGTGAGGTAAGGCAAAGCAAAAGCCTCCTGCACCATTCGTTGCTGACTAACGCGCCTGATATTGCAGCTTCAACAACATATTTGTTCCAAAGCGAGCAGCGCTCACTCACCGGGGCACCGTCATGTTTCCCCGCATCCCTACCGAGCCAGTCACGTGATTTAAAAATCCCTCTCCTAGTTACTGCGGCTAACTTTAGCCGCGGTTAGTGCTTCGAGCAAACAGGCCCAGCCTTGCTTGTTTTGTCACTAAAATTTTGTGTCCTTCTTGAACAACAATCCAGCCCCAAGGAGTGGTGCTGTCTCCACCTGTGTGCAGCAGGTAGCTGCACAGCTGGCAAGTGACGTCTCTTTGGAGATGCCTGAAGAGGCGGTGGAAGACCCATGCACTCAAGACTCCATAAAAGGTGTTAATTTAATTGTTTGGCTGGAGTGTTCAGACCTCGAGGTCTACAAAGGCACTGCAAAATAAATTAGGATTCCCAAAAAGATTGGATCATAGGCAGCTGTGCCATCACAACAAATATTGACTCATGGGACTATGAGCTGCTGCTACACACCAGCATGTGTACTAGGTGGTTGCTGTGATACCGTGAAGGAAATTAAGTATTTAGATTATTATAGCCCTTCATATACATTTTTGAACTAAGGAAATAGCTTAACTCTGCTTAGGACATCGGAAAGAAGTTTGCTTTCTTTATTTGTTAAATGCGATAACATTTCTTTCGACTACCCCCCCCCCCTTCCTGTTATCTCAGTAAAATTATGTAAGTCTTATAACAAAGAATGACTGTGTATGTGCAGGATTAATTAAAGAAGATACAGTATATGCACCAGTCTACACTAGCTCCCAATTATGAGCTTGATGCTGTACACCTGTGCAATCTGCTACTGGATGGTGTAGATGACAACGTTTCAGCTGCAGTACATAAGTCACGCAGCTGACATGGAGTGAATGCATGACGTATGTATGAGCCCCCTGCATTTCATCACGAAATTACGCGTTTGCAAGTTTGGTCTTAGGGAGCCACCATCTTGCCCAGGGGGGTGCGCTTGGGTGTGGCCATAATCAGATTATGACGCGTCCAAGCGCACCTCAACCGAGCAGGATGACAGTGCCCTGAAGCCGGACTTGCAAACATGCATAGAAGCTCTCCACAGGGGTACCAGTTAAAGCTACCCACTCCTGCTCATACTATTGTCAGTTAGTCATTGCGAGGGTAAGGTATAGTGTTGGCATGCTTTGCCCTCCATTTGGCACCAGCAAAAATTTAGTGTACTTTGAGCTTACAAGTAAATTCAGATGACACATTATGTGCAGAATAGGGCAACTTCACTCAGCATAAGATTCATGTATCTATCTGTGCTCCCTTTACAGAAATGGAGAAGGATGCCGCTGTCGGCCTAATCATGATGGCTGGGAATCCTGAGGTGTCCAAGCTGCGTGACCTGCAGATGGCCAAAATGCAGCAGGTCATTCTTGATCTGCAAGCAGACAAACAACGTCTCGAAAGGCAGGTTTGCCACCTGCAAGCCAGGCAGCTTAGTCTCAACACTATCCAGGAGCCTAAGAACTGTTTATATTATACTGGGCTGCCTGAGTTTTCAGTTTTTCAGAATTTCTTTAATTTTCTTGAGCTTCCGGCAGCCAAGATGACCTACTGGTTAGGTAACAGAAAGACAGCTGGTGAGACCAAAGACCGCACACGGGAAATGTCTCTGATTGACGAGTTTTTTATGGTCCTCGTGCGGTTAAGGACAGGGATGGCAGGCAAGGAACTGGCCCGCAACTTCAACATTTCTGAAGGGCAGGTAAGCAAGGTGTTTGTTACGTGGATCAAGTTTCTCCAGCGACAGTTAAGGGTACTGTTACAGTTTCCGACAGTTGCTGAGATTCAGCCCAGCCTCCCTAATGCCTTCCACAAGTTTTCTAACACGAGGGCTGTCCTTGATGGAACTGAGGTACGTATCCAGAAGCCGTCGTCGTTGCTTGCTCAGAGGCAGACCTTCTCGCCCTACAAACACTACAACACCTACAAAGCGGTTGTTGGATGTACACCCGAAGGGTACATTTGCCATGTTTCACAACTGTGGGGTGGGACTGTGTCAGACAGAATGATAGTTGAGGAGAGTGGGCTCGTGGATCAGTTGGAGTCGGGCGATGCCATCATGGTAGACAAGGGATTCAAATTTAATAGCCTACCACCTGGAGTGCAAGTGCACATTCCGTGTTTCAGGCAGCCGAACGAACCTCAGATGCCGGAGGAAGATGTGGCACACACCCGGCGGGTGGCCAGTGCACGTGTAGTTATTGAACGCGCAATCGGAAGGATTAAGCAATTTCACTTCCTTGATCGACCCTTCCCCATCTCCATGATAGATATTGCAGATGAGGCGTTTCAGGTTTGTTGCTTTTTAAGCAACTTTCGTATGCCACTCAGCCGTGCTGAGTAGCAGCAGGACATATGTGTCGGCTTCAGTGGCAACCTTCAGCTTGATAAACATTTTAGAATAACTTCCTTTTTGTGGTTGAACTCCAGGGTTTTATTTTTAAATGCAGCACGTCGGAGATGGTTTTGAGGTACTCTAAATGGACCACAGGGTTCCGGAAAAGTTCTCACTTTAGAGCCATCAGTGAGCAGCGAGAACTCATCCGCTCGCGACCACGTGCTGGCGGGCGCCGCGCAAACAATATGGTAAAAGTAGGAAAGTCTCATCCGGGTCCGGCCACACCCGTCCGGCCCTGTCCCCCTCCCCCTCCGGCTTCTGGCGGCTGTTCGCGGTAGCAGAGAGAGCCGACGCTTTTGTGGATCTAGGATAGATGGCGCCACTAAAATTCCGTATAGTAAAAGTTTTGTCGATGATACCAGATTTTTGACGCATTTATATGCATTTTGGAAGTACAACATTTATAGAAAAGTTACCTTTTATCGAGCAGGTATTCGCACAACTTGCTATCTTTCTACAAGACTCCCCATTGACGTCACGCCGCGTGTTTCTCATGGCCGCCGCTCGCGGCTGCAGGTCGGGGAATACGTATTCTAAGTTTTGCCTCGCTAGTATGTGGCGGAATCGCAACATTTCGACGAAAGGAGGTGTGTTTTCTGTCATTTGTGACAAGGTGAACAATATCAAAAGCAGAAGATGCCAATTCTTTCAACGTTAAAATCGTTGCACAGCTCCTTTAATATTAATGTAATAGAAGGTTGTTTCTCGTGCACCAACGACTTCGGTTTTGGAATAATACCCTGGAACAGTAACACAATGCATCTCGCCCCTCTTTTCACTATTTGTCTCGTGCCCTTAAAGGGATACTACAACGAAATTTCGGCGCTCATTTTTTGGTCTATATGTGTTCAAAAAAGCAGCATCACATCGAACATACCAATATCTTTTTAAAAAAGTCATGAAAAGAAATTTAAAACGAATTAAACGATTAACAAAGAGCACCTGGTGGATGTCGCTAACGCCGCGCTTGTAATGCCCGTCTAGGAACCTTGACAGCTAGTGACGGAGGTTGTCTCGTCTCCAGCCACTACGAGAGAAGAGGGGCAGGAGGAATTCCCCTCTTCCCGAGAATGCCTTTTGTGTGTCGCAGAAGTCGCTATTGTCCCCCTACAAGATTATAGAAGATTAACCCGTCACTCAAAATTCGTACAAAAGCAGCCGCTTCGGTGGCTGGAACGACTAGGCCATCCTCTCGACGTCAGTCTCGCCGTAGCTTTGCTCGTCTTGAGACGACCTACGTCACGATTGCGTTGGATGTCACGTGTTCTCCGCTCGGCCTTCTCCGAGCGCTTGCCAGAGTGCGCCGTTTATAACGAAAAATACAGCCACCAGGCTCAAAATACAAACGTGCCATTGTCATTTACGGATATTGTGGATCATATTCAACCTATTTTTGAACACGACGGGAATATTTCAAATTTCGTTGAAGTATCCCTTTAACTCTCACTGGGGGACATCCCCTTTAGATGAGAGAAATTTTGCAGTACGACCGCTAGCATATGGTCTCTAACGTGCATCATGCAGTAGTAATAACACTAACGCATCCTGGTTTGATGCTCATAAAAATTAACGGGGGTGGTAATCGTACCTAGGATCCCTGGGCTTTGTGACTAGAGCTTTCGCTTTACATGCTTTGTGCTGTGACATGCTATGCTCCATTTCACAATAACTTGGCGAACTATGGAGGCTGCGGCCCCCATGATCCAATAAGAGCGTCGGAGCAAGTCACATGATAAGACTCCATGGTTGAGGCCTCCGAGGCGTCGTTTTTGGGGGCACCGAGATGTCGCCAAAGAGTTGTTCAATGTTTCATTTCTTTCTTTTTTGTGCTAACTGAACTTGAGTGATTCCATCTTTATTAAGAATAAATATAAAAAAATTAATGAAAAAAAATATTGACAAATTTTAATATTTAAACCGAAAAAGTAATGCGACATTTGTATTCAGTTCGATTTTTTTTTCTTCTTGTAGTGCCGTGGCCGTTGGTGATTGCAGCCGTGTAATCAGCCGCTTGCAGGGCAACTATGGTCGAAAACGGAACCAAAATAAATTACTGGTACCGCTTTAGTGGCACAACTCTCGGCCTGCAGACAACAGCCAGTTCCTTGGTGCAGTGACACACACGCTTCCGCTATGTGGTTTTATGTGCCTCGCTCCGACGCTCTTATTGGGTCGCGGAAGCTGTAAGCTCCACAGTTCGCCAAGTTACTATGAAACAGAGTAGCACACTTGGTCACCGTTCCCCCCTAGTGCCTGCCATGATTGTCCTTAATCACATTTGGCTGTGATCCGCAATTGGCATACGAGTTTAGATTAGATATATCAAAGTATTAGATGTCCTCATTTCATTATTTCATGTGTGTGGTCTTTGGTCTCAATGTCTAATGGGCTGTGCATTTTTTTGTATGATTATACATCTTGCCAGTGTGTTTTAGGAGTGCAACAATTATTATGACTATAGCTGCTTTTTACAGTGTCGATCTAAAACTCACTTTCTTCCTTATGCAGTTCGGGCTATTGCTGCCTCATAGTTAGTGTGTTGAGTTCGGTCATATTGTGCATCAATTTTTACTTAAATCTGCTATGTGGGAAGTACATGAATAGATAACGTCAATTATCTGCTGTGCATCACTGTTCACATTTATGATTCTAGTAACTTTGTACAGCGTTATCTAGAACTTGCTCTTTGGCTTTAGTTTAGTATGCAGTTTGGGTGATTACTGCCTCGGAGTCTTTGTGTTCAGCTGGGTTATGTCCAGAGTTTCCTTATTTGAAAAACTCTCATGCACCAATCTTTGGTGTTTGAATATATTGCTTGGGAAGTACATGAGTAGCTAGTGTGAATTCTCTGTTGTGCATCAATAGCGAGATTAAAGTTTGAATAAGCCAACGAAGTTTTGGCTACTTCGGGTCTTTTTACCTGCAAAGTCGATTGTAATGTTAATGACTTTGACACGCTACCTCAACAAATCATGTGTTAATACAAGTTGGAGCTAGAAAATCTTTTTTTTTTGTTGTTTTTTACTCTGAACAGTCTAAGAAGGAATTAGCTCTGCTTGTTTATAGGCAAATGGTTTTCTATTTATTGTAATAAACTGTAAAAATGTAAACCACCACACCCTGTGTCCTGTTTTTCTGCAGTAAACACCATTCTCAAAGACACGGGAGTGGCTACAAAAGCACTGCCCCTGACAAGCATATTTATTTGGCTCTGAAAAGAGCCGTTGTGACTTGGAGAAGCCTCGGGCTTCATGCAGGCGCTCCTTCACTCCAGCCTACGCAGCTTCTTTTTCAGTCCGGGACCGTCCTCCACCACATAAAACCCTTTGCAGAACTTCTTGAAGGAGACGTACTGGCCGCGAGCTATCAGGGCTCTTCGACGCCTCACACGGCCCGTTACCACTTCTGGGAATAGGGCATGCTTGGCGAAGTAGATAAGCCCTGGCAGCAGTGCTCCATCAACGAACTTCTTGTCGAAGGCGATGGTCTCGACGTGCGTCGAATTGGCAACAGTCGTGTTGTTAGTCCAAAAAACAAAATCGCACCACTGGTGTCCGGTCACTGCCATCTGCCCTTGCACCTGGTAGAAGTAGGCGTGAGTCTTCTTCAGTCGTACCACGCCATCCACAACTTCGCAGCAGAACTTCTTGTCCTTGCATGCCTCCATTGGTGTTAGCCCAATCTTCGAAGCCGGACACTTCACCTCCAAAAGGCCCTCTTCGTTGTCCTTCCTCACGATGCGGTCGGGCGATGCTGCAATGAAGCTGCACTCTGGGTGAATGTGCAGCCCAGTCTCGCGGATCTCGACGGGAGTGTCGAATGCTGCCATGAGTGATGCATAGGCTGAGACTGCGGTACCCTCGTGCGTCCTCCCATAGCGCATGGCCTCACTTGAGGCATCTGGGCTCGGGTACAAAATACCCTTGACCAGGTACTCGGGCTTGACACACTTGATGACAGCAGAGAAGACTGATGCCGTAATCCTGCCCTGCCGCTCTTTGTGCCACCTTGGATTATTGGCTTGACCGATGGTGGACCGGGTCACTTGTTCCCTCTCTTCCTCCGTCAATGTTGGAAGGGACTCCATGTGTTTTGCAACAACGTCCCGGGCATTCTCACTCCACAAATCTTCATCATCTTGGATGGGGAGCACTGGTGCCGCTGGTCCAAGTTGCTGTACACCACTGTACAGAAGCCACTGGAGGCCCGGTGTAGACACACTGAGGGCATCTCGCAGTTGCTGAATCTCCTCAGCCGAAGCAACACCAACATTCTCACAAGGGTCAAAAGAGCGTCGTTTCTTCTGCTTCACCGGCCTGTTGATCAGGTACTTGTGGAACGTGATGTCTGCAAGTGGCACCAGGGGAGCAGGCTTCTTGGCTGCAAAGAGAAATTTTGTCAGTTCAGTTCTAAAATAAGCCACATCTAGGTTTTCCATCTTGTAATCATGTTAATAGCTTATCATCCAAGCTGCTTTATGTAGAAAATGTAGAGTTTCACTTTCATGAAAACGAACACAAAAAGCATTGGCTGTTTGGTTCCACATTTATCTAGCAATGGATGTGAGCTTGGCTAAATAATTAAGACAGCTTGGACGTTGGTCTTATTCTCCAATATATTAGGTACGAAGTATTAACATATTTCTGAGCAAAAGATTCCTATGGAGCCTCTTTAAGGGCCGTAGTGTACACACCTTCAGCAGGCACAATCCAGGTGCAGGGTATGTCGGTGCAGCTCGTCGAGCAGGCGTTGCAGCTCTCTTCGGCATAGAGCAGCAGTGCTGCAATATGTTGGCAGGACTGGCTTTTCCTGGAAAATCGAGGCAGTCAACCAAGACCAAATTAGCGGGATTATAGCTGCACGCGTAGCAGCTCTTGGTTGCCTTCGTTGTACACAGGCTGTCGGTGCATGATGGAGACATGCATCTTTTACACTACCTAAGCCAAGGAGCAAGCACTGCGAGCATGAGCGATAAACCACATGAGTTTGCTGCTATACTCTTTTTCACCTTGTGTTGTACCGCAGGA